TATATATATATATATATATATATATATATATATATATATATATATATACATGTACAGGTATATATACATGTATTTGTATTGCATAAATCTTTGAATTACCTGAAGATCTTTGTTCAACATGTAAATTTGGCTTGTGTGATGACACGATGCTTCTGACTGTGTTTCTGTGTGAACAGACACTTAAATATTGAATAGTAGGAAAACCAAGGTTTAATATTATTAGCACCTTCTACTAATTTGTGCAAATTAAATTCTCAATCAATATGGCTTGTTAAATGGATATTTGATTGTCAAAATATATGCATGTGTATTCTAGTCAAGGTCCGCAATACCGTACCGTACCGGAGTTTCGACCTGGGCTCGGTACTGGTACGGTATGGTATACCGCTTGGTACACCCAAGTGTACCGAGCGGTATATTCAGGCGTGCCGAGTACTGTAGCAGCACTACAGTGCTGCTACAGTACCGAGCCGGTAACAGGCGGTCCGTGTACCGGAAGCCTGTCGGACCGGTACGTACTGCCTGTACCGGGCGGTACGGACCGGTACTGCAGACCATGATTCTAGTTAAGTATCAGTTCCTTGTTTGCCTTTTGGTTTGGAGACAGTATTATAAAGCATTCAGGTCGAGATTTGTTTGTAGAATTTCTCAGTCATTTTAAGCATCTTACTCTACCAAATATACAGGATAGTGAAGGAATGGGCCTGACAAACTCTAGGCTTTTACATTGTATACAGTGTTATAGATGAACCGACTTTTAGTATTTTAAGTCCTGCTGTGTACAATCTGAATCTGTTGTATTAGTTGCAAATAAATGTAGTAGTTTTAGCTTCAGCCTTTGTTCATAATGATCTGACATTTCCAGGATAAGATGTAATGCTTAGTATGGCCACAGTTGGACTGGCCTAGTATCACAGAGTTCATTTGTGCTATGCTTAAGATTTATGTCATGGTATCTCCATATTATGTTTTCTTTACCACATCTCTAGCAACAAAAAGCTTGAGAATATTATCATGCAGGATGGATAAAGTGAATAACAACAAAATTGCAAGAAAGTTTTTTGACATGGTACCTTAAATGACTCGAATGGAAATTTCTTGTGCAGAACTTGCTTTGTTAATGTGTTACATCAAATGAGCTTGTAAGGAAAACTTTTGTGAAGAACTTGCTTGTACCTTTCTGAATATCCACTTTATTGACAGTCATAGGTTTACATTTGTAGGTAGCCTGGTGGTATGATTTCCCACAAGCAACATGAGAATTTCTGTACAAATCCTTCTCAGGTCTCTTGCTGGAACATTAGGAATGGTGGCTTACCCACTCAAATTCTGATATTTCATGTTCTTGAGTGTAGAAAACAGCATTAGTTCAACTTACTATAACAAAATTTAAAGAAGATGTGAGAAGCACTGCCGAGGGAAAAAGAGAAAACAAAGCTTAGATAAGTAAAACGGTAACATCAGGAAAAAAAGGTATTATTTTTGTGTCCATAGAAGTTCTGAAAGATCATGCCCCTAATCATATTTTAATAGGACTTGTTAACTAAAGCAACATTTTAGATGAAACTACAGTGGAACAGAACCTTACAAATTTTACATCTAATAGAAACCAAATTTGAGGTGTCTGGTGAGCAATTTGTTTTTGAGGTACTCCATCACTTCTTTCTTCTAACAAAACTTTGATGTGCATACCATTTTTAAGTTGTACTCTTTTTTGTATGCCTCAAAATTTTTTTATTGGTCATTTTTGTAATTAATGTCACCTTCTTGAATGCCTCCAAATATTTTATTGTCATTTTTGTAATTAATCCTACCTTCATTATTTGCTAAATAACATTTAATATAACTGCAGAAAGGAAAGGTGAAAATTGACTGATTTCTGTAGCGTGAGCAACTTTCCAGTCCTTAAGAAAATCAAGAACAGTGGATATGTTTGCAAACTCACTGTAACACCTAGTTCTATGTAAGTTCTTTGATTGGGGTGGGGGAAAATAATTTAAAATTTGCTTTCTTATATGGTGTCAATTTTAATGAATTATGGTAGTTCATTTAATATGATAAGTAGTTTTCAAGCAACTGACCATGGTTCAAACTGGAACTAGATGGGCAATTGACCATAGTTCGGAACCAGAAAATATGAAAGTGTTTACTCATCTCATGTGGCATTCGCTCCAACTGATCTAGTCATTTCTTATTTTATTTAACTTATTCCATTTCCTTATGACATCACTCATTGAGCCATTTCCTTACCCATTATAATTCTGTGCTGTTGGCATTCTGGCCGAGGGTGTTTTGAGAACCTTCATATTTTTGTTCCATGTGAATTTGTATGTGAGGGTACCAGTGTAGAAAGATCCTTTTCTTGTCTTATATGCTGGTCTCTGTAGGTCACACCAAATTCTCATTTTCACAAGGATCTTGGTCTCGACAGCTTGGACACCGTAGAGGTTGTGATGGCACTGGAAGAAGAGTTTGGGTTTGAGATCCCTGATAATGAAGCAGACAAGATTGACGCAATCAATGTTGCTGTCGACTTCATTGCCTCACACCCCCAAGCAAAATGAGATTTCTAACAATGGTGCATGCTGACTGTTCTCTTCGTAAGATTCTTCATGAGACCACCATCTTTGTCTGTCTTAATGACTCGAGTAATCTGGAAGTTGGTTCCATCACATGTTGATGATCACAAGGGTGCTTTGTTTTGAAATAATTTGGTACTCCTGACCTTCCACAGTGGGCTCTTTCCTCTTAAGATGTCTCATGCTGGCGATGATTTGCTTTTGCCGCAAGTCTTGTGAACATGTTATGTTTTGTTATGTTTTTTTTTTCCCTAAAAATCATTCGTTCGATATACAAGTATTGCGTTATCATGTGCATTGACATTTATATCTGGATTTCAAACTGAATGCTTATTTTGATACAAACGTGTAATCATGTTTATTAGGGATATATTATTAGGTTAAGTTCTATTTTAGTTTCATGAACCATTTAAGTGATTTATTCATGTATAAAATAATTTTTATATTTTTAAATTAATATAAGGATATATAATTTAACTTTTAAAAAGGATTAAAGTCCATTGGTTATGGATTAATTTTTATGATTTATTTTTGTTTCATTTTAAAAAAATTAGCATAAGTCTCTCTTGTTAAGTATGAGTTAACATATGTTAAAAATTTTAATATTGATTTATAATAAATTATTAATATAATAATATATATAATGTGAGTTTAAAAAATAATTAAGGTTTATTTTGTCGAGGAAGAGTAAGCGACGGACAAAAGCAAAGAGTTAGAAGTAGTAGAGGTCGATGGCGAAGGTGAGAGAGAGCTGTATCATGTCGTAGGCGCTGTGGGTGGAAGCGCACGAGAGGATGAAGAGAGAGACGATGGGGACGAAAATGTCCAAGAGGAGGAAGAGGGATTAAGAGATCACTATGTGCTTAGTGTCGGACTGGTCGATGCACATCCACCTGAGGCAGGATCAGAAGTTCTTGAGCTTGTCATTAGCACGGTAGAAGTTGTGTGCCTACGACACTCTACTAGGCAACAACAGCTCGGTGCTATTATTGGTTGTCGCTTTGTCTTCTACCGTGCCTACGACACTCTACTAGGCAACGACACTCTACTAGACAGTGGTCTTATTTTTGTTTTAACTTAAATTACCTATATTCTTATATTAATGGTTTATTATGAGTCAACATGTCATATAAGAAGATTCCAACGTATCTCTGACTTGACGAGATGGACTTCTATGTTACGTTTTTTAAAATATATGAGTTATTTTAGACGAATAAAACATAAGGGCTTAAGTAGTCCATAGCCAAAACTATAATGGTTAAAATTGATTTTAACCCTTTCGTTCTAATTTCTGTTAACTCAAATTTGACGGAATGAACTTATATGTTACATTTTTTAAAATATATGAGTTATTTTAGACATAAATAAATCATAAAAGTTTAAATGGTCCATGATCAAAACCATAGGAGCTAAAATAGACCTTAACCCTTTTTAAAACTTAAATTACATATGTCATTATATTAATTATTTATTATGAGTCAACAAACCACGAAAATTGATTCTAACTTCTGTTAACTCAAACTAGTCTTATATATTATATTTTTTTTAAATGTAGAGATTCTTTTATACACGAGTAAATTCTAATAACTTAAATGATCCATGATCAAAATGCTAAAATAGATATTAGCCCTATATTTTTTTTATTTAGCATTGTACTTCCACTCACTTCCAAATCTAGTTTGGATTAAAAACAATAAATATTAATAATAATCTAAAAATAATATCATAGCTCATTAAGCATAGTGGTCGGCATTCTAATAAAATTTATCATAAATACCCATTTGCTTTCAAAATTTGTATAATTATCAAGTTTTTCTTTATACGTATACTATTGGCAAAAATTAATCTTTAGCTTCATATGCATTTCGAATCGTCGCTTACCTTTGGGTATTTTTCGAATAACATATATCTAAATATATTTTCATAACAAAAATATAAATATAATATGAATTTCATATCTTAGATCATAAGATATATATATATATATGGATGGATGTATGTATGTA